GCCGCCCTCAGCTGCGCCTGGCGGTTCCGGCTCCTCCTTCTCTCTCCGCTACGGCCCTACCATGGTGTTTGAGTCGGTGGTCGCGGACCTGCTGAACCGTTTCCTGGGGGACTATGTTGAGAACCTGAACAAGTCCCAGCTGAAGCTGGGCATCTGGGGCGGTAAGCGCGAGGGCGCGGGGGCCCACGCCACGGGCTCCCGTCTTCCGGCCCCTGCCCAGGCCCTAGTCCCAAGCTGCCCGAGACTCTGCTTCACAGGGCTCTGGAGGGGCCCCAGGTGCGACAGGTGCGGGGCGCAGGCGGCCTATGCCTGCCGCCACCTCGGGCTCCGGGGGATGCACTGGAGCTGGTCCCCGCTTCTGGAGTTCCCACCTTTCCGGTCCCTACTGTCGCTGCCCCGCCCACTTCGGGGTCCCTTTTGGCTTCACAGTATAGAAAAAGCCGCGTCTGCTGGTGGAGTGACCGTGGTCATAAACGCTGTCACCAAAGAAAAAGACATTTTTCTCAGTTATCTTCCTTACCATTCTAGGAAGCGGGAACTGGATTTTTTTCTCTACAGAATAGCAAGGTTTGAGGGGGGGTTTGGCAGGGGAAGGTCATTAAGAAGCAAGGCATGTCTATAGGGACTCTTCCTCTTAATGCTTTTGGCTCCTGAAAGTGATTTTTTTCCCTCTGAGTATTTTTTTCTTCAACACGAAGAAGACTTTCAGTTTCGTGTGGAAAGCATGAGAGATTCAAGTCATAAGCAGCAACATCATTAATTAGGTGCCTGCTTGGTTTCATGCCCAGGGATGTATTGCCAACGTTTTATCCTGGAGATTAAGTCTATACAAGTAGATAATGAGTAGTATGCTTGTGCAATTTCCAAAAACATCATTTACACAAAATATGTGTTAAGCTTTGGAGATGCTGGGAATATGTTCTTACTCTACACTAGAGCTGGGTATTTTGCCAGCTTTGGGGGAAAATCCGAAAAACGGCTCATATGGATGAAAGTGCTTTTTATTTATTCAACGAATATACCCTATCTTAATAGGTAACTCCTAGCCCAGTTGCTGTTCAGCACTAGAAGTATGGCTAGTGCGAATTGGGATGTACTCCAAGTATAAAATACACACTGTGTTTTGAATATGAGCATTTCTCTAAGCCAGAAAAAGAAAAATGATGCAACAACTCATTACTAATTTTTTATGTCAATTATGTGTTGTAATGATATCTGAATATATTGGGTTAAATTAGATATATTATTTAAAATTTTGTTTGCCTTGTTTCTTTTTACTTTGTTTTTTAGCCTGGCTCCTAAAATTTATGGTTATGTATGTGGACCACGTATTAGGCAATGCTGTTATAGAACCAGGAGTGCTGCTCTGAATTGTATGGGAGCCCAGTTTGTTTTCATAGGTTACTAACTCATCATTTGATTGGTTCACTGGGGTTTGCCCAACAGTACATACTTTGCTTAACCCCCACCAATATAATGTAAAAGAAAGGAAAATGAAAGCTACATTTAAGGAATTAAATACCCAGTGTCTTTTGCAGAAATCAAGTGTTTTCTTCATAATATGGATGGCAATGCCAATTTTTTCTTGTAGGTTGTAAACATTTGAAATCTGAAAAAGCACTTGGTTCTAGGCTGGTTAGTGTGCTGTGATATACAAGCCATTTATCTCATGAGCCTTAGTTTCATTATCTTAATTTAAACTACAGGAAAAAAAATGTTTTCAAATTTTGAAAAGTTTGAATCATACCAGACAATATGATAGTTCCATGTAACTTCTATACCAGTTTTAGCAAGCAATAATATTGTGCTATAATTACCCCTGAATTTTAAACAAAGAAATAAAATGGTTAGAGTCTAAGATTCTTTCATACAAAATCTTCTTTGAAATTAGAGGTTTTACTAGGTACCATCTGAGGGTCTTTCCAGTGTCAGTATTCTGTGATTCTGACTGTAAATGTTTTTACTGTGACATTGAGGATAATACTGTCTGAAGATTTTAAACTTTTTTTTAGAATTGAAATTAAGGTACCCTGATTTTATGTAATTGTTTCCTACCCACCCCAAGCTTGGTAGCATCTAGGAAAGGAGACTCTTTTTCATCTTGTTCCGCCTGCCCCCCCTCAATCAGTATTAACTTATAGACCTGATCACTTCTTTCACATATTGTGTCCAGTGTCCAATCAGGGATTCCCTCAGCTATCAGCCCACATCTCTGGGTCTATGAAGTTTTGCTACCTTTAATTTTTGTAGTTGCTATAAAGAAAGTGAGTAATCATGAATTTTTACAGTTATTTCTCAATATATTGTCTTAATAGCTGTAGTTCCTCTTAAAATATAAAGGCACATGTCTGTGTTGGGTTATTTCTGTTCTTTGAAAATAAGGTGAAGAAATTTATATTAAATGTTTTAGGGCAAATAAATGGGAAAATTAAAAATTGATAAAATAGTTGGTATTTGGGGAACTGTGGTGTTAATAAGGTTCAAAAAGAATTTACCATTTTATATAGTTTTACTTGAAAACTATTTACATTAGCAAAATAAGGTTTACATGTTTGATTTTTCAGTTTTTTTGTTGAATTTTTAAGTCTTGAAAAAGAAAAATTCATCCTGTAGAACTTTCATATACTGATATTATTTTTCTTTGGTTTCTTTGGAGATAAACGAAATTGATGTATCCAGGATATAAAACATTGATACTTCCTAATTGGAGTGCCTAGTGTAAGACAGTGGTTTTCAATTAGGGTGACTTTGCTCCCCAGGGAGGGTATTTGGCAATATCTGTGACATTTTTAGTTGTCACACTGTGGGCAGAGGTGTGCCACTGGCATGTGGATATACCCCAAGGACACTTATGAACATCCTGCAGTACAGGGGACATTTCTCTGTAATGAAGAATTATTCAGCGTCAAATGTAAATTGGGAAACCCTGGTCTAATGGGAATATGGAATGTTTTTTGCAATTATAGGCAAGCTGGACATCTTAGTAAGAAGTGAAGAATGGATTTAGAGGAAGTATATATTATTCTTATGAAATATCTAACCCAAAAGAAACAGATGTCTTTAAAAGTTACTAAAGGGTATCATCTCAGTAAAAATTCATAATATTTTCTTAGATGATCTCAGGAAGTAAATATTGTGTTACCATAACTTGAAAGATTGTGCTGTGTATACATTCATACACATATAGCATTCACAGTGAAATCCATATTTAGGGAAACATTGCAGAGTGAGAAGGATGGAGCAAATTTTTGAAATGTCTAGAATCAGATGTACACTCCAGATACTGCTATAAAATTGGAGAAGCAAAAAAACAAAAAACAAGCAAAAGCACCCAAACGAAATAACCAAACCCCCTGCTATTTTCTTTTTATTTTATCCTTAAATAAAAAAATTAATGCCAAATGATTCCGCTGAGTTGTTAAAAATGATTTAGGCAGAATGCTCTTTTAAAAACTCTTCCTGTTGTAGAAAAATGAGGCCTTGATTATTTATTGGGGTAACTCAGGCAATACATTTTAACTCTGTAAGCCTCAGTTTCCTAACCTATAAAATGGATATGTAACACTGTAATATAAATGAAGTGAAAATCCTTTGTAATTGTTAATATTACTGATAGTAGTGATGGAAACAGCTTTATTTGTTCTTTTTTATTTTCACAAGTCTGTTTCTTTTAACTACAGATTTCTGGGGTTTTATATTCAATAGTTGTAGAGCTAGCAGTACAAATCTAAACATTTATTATCCCTGAAATTTCTTAAATAACCTATTTGTATTTGAATTTAACTTAATACTTATATTATTTACCAGCTGCTTTGTAAGTTAGATTTTCAGTGGTTTAGAAAAGTGCCTGATGGGCAAGTGTTGTTTATGCAGATAGGAACGTTTATCTAGGTTTTTGTTGCCCACAAGCTGGTACCAGGAGATAAAATGCACAGCCTTTAGCTATTTGAGATGTGTCCAGGATATAATTGTTTTAGGAATAACGTATATTTGAAAAGGTATGTTGAAATCTAGGTCTTTTGCAATTTGTTTTAAATATTATTGGTGCAATGTAGAATCTTTGTTAATTTGATTTTTCAAAGTGATTTTATTGTGGAGGAGCAAGAAAATTTTCCTTTCAGAACTCTATGACTCTTCCGTCCCTTGGGCTTGTGGAATAAGCTAGAGACTGTGATGTGTTGGATGCAAGGGTGGCTGTTGTTACCAGGTAGTGTGCATTCACTTTGTAGCTCTGTAAGGCAGGCTCTGCCTATACTGTTTATTGTATTGTCCTTTACCCTATCCTTGTTACTTCACCCTTCACTGCCAGTGGGTGGTGAAGTATCCCCCATTTGAAATGTTTGGGACTGGGATTGTTTTGTAATTAGGATTTTTTTTTTCAGATTTTTGGAATATTTGT